CCCCCCATTAATTTTAGAGAAGGGGGGGGGGAGGAGAGAGAGAGAGAGAGAGACACACACACACACACACACACAATTGGTTTCCTCCTGCACACACCCCAACCTGGGCTGGGGAATCGAACCTGCAATCCAGGTACATGCCCTTGACCGGGAATCGAACCAGAGATCCTTCGGTGTGTGAGCTGATGCTCCCACTGAACAACACTGGCCAGGGCTGAGGTATAATTTATACAAAATAAAATTTACCTATTTTTAAAGAATAGCTTAATGAGTTTTGATAATTATATAGTCATATAACCAGGTGGTGCATTTTTAAAACCTAGACTTTAACATCATGTTTTTTAACTACATTGTAATAAAAAGCCTAACGTTTTTTCTCTCTTCTTTAGATTTATTTGTATATTGTTAGTAACTTTATACAGATCTAATTGTAAGAAGGGTAGTTTTTATTTCTTAGCTAGAGATTCATTCCTATTATACACGAAGTTATAAGTATGCAATTCATGTAATAAATACAAATAAAGAGGTGCATTATGCCTCTTTTTATAGATAGGGAGCTAAATTAAAACTGGATTCAGACAACAAATTTTAAAAGTACCAATGTTTTAATAAGGTACAAGTTACAGACAGAAATGGAAAACATCATAAAAGCCCTAAAATGTAATCTCCCCTCCCTTCCCCTCCCATAGTAAGTAAACCAAAACAGTCTGAGTTTGAGAACGAAGAAATCGCTGTTTTTAAAAAAATAACTTATTTCGGCTCACATTCTTTGGCAGTCAGATAAAATGTTGGACTCATTACTCTGAGGAAACACAGTGGTGTGTTTACCAACACCATGATGTTTTCTTCTAAAAATACTATTTAATTATTTCTGTGATGTTGTCTTAAATTTGTATACTCTTAATAGTAGCTATCCCCAATTGAAGAAATGACTTAGATATGTGAGCATATTTTCTGGGGATTATAGCTAGTCAGTATTTCTTTTCTCATACATACATGCTGTGTTGGTAATAGTTACCTTGTATCTGAAAGTGACCTGGTTACTTGGCTACTTGGCAGGGGTCAAGGTGGAGTGGGAGAGGCTGTCAGTGCAAGCTAGGGCTACTGCCTCTCAGATTTTAGCTTGCATAAGAATTACTGAAAAAGCTTGTTAAAACATATTCCTGGGCTCCACTGCCAGAGATTAATTCATAGGTGTGTGAGGGAACACAAGACTTTGCATTTCGAAATAAACTCCCAGGTGATGCTGATTTTAAATCCATGACTCCACTTTTAGTTACATTGTGTTAAACTAACCCTGTCTTTCTCTAGTACAGGGTAGCTTTCCTTACCAGACTTAAAAGGGTATATAAAAGCTATGATTGGTTACAAAGCTTCTTTAGTGGTTTTCTGTTCTGTGCTTAGGGGAAGCATTGTTTTAGTTCATGAGTTCTGCTTTAAGTTTTTTTTTTAAACCCTTGCTAGTAACTGCAAAGAACTCCTTAAGTGTTTGATTTTATAAGTGGTAAACAGTGGCATTTAGTTTGAGTACTGTTTACTCCCAAGATCATTTAGATTCTATCCCCCTTCCCTAACGTGAGGATGTTAAGATTGGGAAACGATTTAAAAAATGATTATTCATGATAACCTTTTATATTATAGCAAAAATAGTAGCAAAAAATTAAAATTGTTTTCAACTCTTTAGCAGATTAAAAAATTTGTTTTTTAATTTTTAGAAAACTTTAATATTTCCTTTTGTGTGATGATGAGAGTACTAATCATATAGGCAAATGTTTAGGGAAATTTGTGTTATTAGAAAATAAATAGATAAAATGGAATATAAGATAAAATTCTGAATTACAAGGAATGACAAATATTATTTTATTTATGTCATGATCTTTTACTCAAAACTAGAAACTTAAATTTAAGTTTAGACTTGACATATAGCTATAAGTTAATGTGACTACTGTAGAATAAAATTAATAAAATCTGTTTTGTCTCTCCAGCTTTCACAGTAATCGTCCAAGTAAAAGGTTTTGTATTTTTAAGAAGCATTCAGAAAATCTCAGGTAACTAGTTGATTTTATTTTTATTCTTTCTGTTGAAAGATTTTATGACTTAACATTTTTTATATAATATCCTTAATGAGGTATAATTCATATACTATGCAATTCACATACTTAAATTGTACAATTAATAGTTTTTAGTCTATTTACCAAGTTGTGCAGCCATCACCACAGGTAATATTAGTACATTTTTATCACTCCAAGGAGAAACTCTGTACCCATTAAGGCCATCCCTGTTTCCTTCCAACTTTACCAATCCCTAAGTAACCACTAATCTTCTGTGTCTATAGATTTGCCTATTTTGGACATTTCATATAAATGGAATGATACAATATGTGATCTTTTGTGATTGGCTTCTTCCATTTAGCATGTTTTTCATGTTCATATATGTATATCAGTACTTCATTTTTTTATTGCTAAATAATATTCCATTGTCTGGCTATACCATAGTTTGTTTATTCATTTAGGTTATTTTAACTTTGAAGCCATTATAAATAATGCTGCTATGAACATTTGTGTACAAGTTTTTGTCCGGGCATGTCTTTTCATTTCTCTTTAGTATATATCTGGGATTGGAATTGCTGGGTTATATGGTAACTGTGTTGAGCCTTGGAGGATCTGCCAGGCTGTTTTACAAAGTACCTCAACTATTTTATGTTCCCATCAGTAGCATATGAGGGTTCCAGCTTCTCCACTTCTTTGCCTATATTTGTTATCTCGTTTTGATTTATAGCTACCCTAATGGGCATAAAGTGTTAACTCATTGTGATTTGTTATAACTTTTTTTTAACCTGATGTTGGGGTGTCCAGTTTGGAAATCTAAATGATTGCTACTGGATATTACCTAGTTCCATTTATTATATCCTTAGACTAGGGGTATGGCTAGCCTTTATTCTCTTGCTAGATTTGTTTCAGTGGCAACAAGTAGTGTCAAGATGAAGTCATCATACATTTACTTTGTAAAAGAACAAAAATTTAAAATTGTATTCTTTTCCCTGTGCTTCACTGCAGCACTCCCTACCTCCATTTTCGCTTTATTTTTCTCTACATCATCTTTCATCATCTGGTATATTTTATACTTTACTTTTTTTATTTTCTGTGTCCTCATACTAGAATCTGTGTGGTATGGATTTTTGTCTATTCCGTGCATTGATGAGTTCACTCAGTAAATATTTGTTGAATAAATTATAGTATATGTTGAAAATGATTTATGTGGACAGTAGGTCCCATCTGTGATGTTGGGCCAGTAGCTTACAGGGAAATAAAATTTGATTCAGTTTAAAAAGTATTTTAGTGCTAATTTTAAAACATTTACCGAGTTCAATGAAGTAGATTAAGCTATATTAGACAGCTGAAAATTTTTATAAGGCTTAAAAGGATTTTGCACTCAAAAGATGAGATTTTAGTTTGATTTTTATCTCACTGTTGTCAAGCTTAATTGTTTGTTCTGTTTTTAAGTAAACTATATTATTTTAAAGATGTGGGATTTTTTTTCTCCACTTGAATAGGTATCATTAAAAATTGGTCAATTCCTGTGAATGGAATATAGCATACTTATAATTGTGTAGAACAATAATTTTTGTAATTACTTCTTTATTAGAATAGACTATTCATTCTTTATCTCTTTATTATTCTTTTATCATGCATATAATGTACAGCTCCTATAAAGATGAAAGTGGATAAAGTCTTAGAACCAGTCTTCAGGGAATATACAGTTCATTGGATGGGGGATATAAGTGAACATAAATTACTAATAATGCAAGGAAGATTTTAATAAGTGCAGTGAGGGTTATTTATTTAAAAGGAGGGAGAGATTACTTGGAATGTTCTGGATGGGTGTTAGTTATACTTTGCTCTAAAGGATGAATATTGTTTATACTGATAGAGGAGACACAGCGGCATTCAGGTTGGAAGAAATAGCATGAATAAAGGTGCAGAAATGAAAAAGTAGAAGTCATACAGACTGAATAGCTAGTAGCAGATGAATGGAGCATGAAGTTCATATAGTAAGTTTGAAGTCTGGGGCAGTGGTTTTGAGCTGAGAGCCAGTGAAAGCATTGAAAATAAGACTAAGGAGTTTGGGCTTAATTTGGAGGGCACTGGAGAATATTACATCAAAGATTCTGTAATACTGAAGGAAGGTTGAATTGAAGATACCCTTCTCACCTTCAGCAGTCATGTGAGTTAGATATGTGTGAATCCTATAGATTAGGACTATTGTGAGAGTTTTAAATGATTTAGTAAGGGCTTGAGTTAAAATGGTGAGGTGGTATTGCATCATCTTTAAGAATATGAGCTCTGGAATCAGAGTGCTCAATTTAAAACGTGGTCCTGACCTTTACCATCTCTATGTCCTTGGTAGAATACTAAGCTAACTGCCCTCTATAAAAAGGTAATGAATTATAGCACATTTTTTGGGTTGTTGTAAGATTTAGATGAGATGATATGTCTAAATTCGTTAGCCTGGCACAGAATAAGTACTCAATAAATTGTTAGTATTATAAAATGCTTGTCATATTGACTGTTTTAAGGAAGGAGATACAGAGATAACTGTAGTTTGAGCTTTGTTGTTAGAGGAATTAGCATCATAAGAAAGACAAGTCAGAAGGAGTTGATTTGGGGAAGAAATACACGATTTTAGTTTTATGGTCAGTTTTGATGTGCCAGTGTGAAATCTAGTTATAAAAACACAGTAGACTGTTAGACTAGAGCTTCAGGGGAGAAGTCAGCCTATGGTATGTTATTTGTTTGTATTTGTATATTGGTAAAATGCTTAAATATTTAAAGTATGTGGAGAATTTCAAAAATGAATTTATACTTTGTTAAATTGACAATAACTGATAGCATTACATGATTTTTTTTCCTTTTTTTTACCTACACAAAAATAATATATTAGCAGAATTCTAAAGAATCTCGTGGACCCCTAAGAGGAGTAGGTACAGCCAGAACAAAAATGGGAAACAGAAAGCCATCACTTACTGACATGGCTTCTCTCTGGTCTAACCCGCTGAGGAGGAGGATCTTATCTTTATTATTTTCTCTAGACTTGGGTTCCATTCTCCTTTCTTTGTGCAGTCCAGCTCTCTCTATTGATGACCCAAACATAGTATTCTCAGCCTCCATTTTCTCAGATCAATAAATTTTATTATATACTTATAACTTGTAATTACAAATCCCTGTTTAGAGAAGACTTGAGTTGGGCATTCCATCCTGGTCGAATTAACTATATCCTGTATAATAGGCATTTAGCTACTACTTACTGTTGAGGTTGCTTTTAGTGTCTGTGAGGGCAATTTATTAATAGAAAAGACTATATAGTTATTAAAGTTAAGTATTTAAATCTTAACTTTCCTTTAGCTTTTAAGTTTAACTTAAAAATATTGCACTTAGAAATCAAGTATATTTTAATCACTTTTGAGAGGACCTTTAATTAATGTTTGATAAGGTTCATTTAAGTTGAACAGACTAAGTTTTTTAAACAGTCTCATTTGCAACTCAGTTCCCTTAAACAACTTAACATCATTTATACAAATATTTTATTTTCAACAGTACTTCAGATGCTTAACTCAACAAGCTCCCAAATTCTTAACTCTTGCAAATATAAACGTATTGTGGCTTTTTAAAGTTTTCTGAAACATTTTCATACTTTTGCAAGCTTAATATTTTAAAATACCTTTCAACTAAAAATCAAAAGTTTAAACATATTTTTAATGATAATCTTAAGGCTACTGTCTCATACTGTAATATGCCAATTATGTGTAAATATTTCAAATGCTACACAATTTGAACTAATGAGTATAAAAACTGTCCCTGAATACAACAGAAAGTATTGATGACTGTGGGAATTATTTCCTATGCTTTATAAAAATTTATAATCATTACCTATTTCATTTAAGAACTACAGCACTCAATGTTTGGTAAGGAAATGAGTAGTTTAGACCCCAGCAAGTGAACCATTACACAGAGCAAGGATGCTGAGGAACTCAAACTTTTGACTTTAGTAGTGAGTTATCTACTTTAATTAATTCAGTGTTAAATGAGAATAATATCAAACTTGGGTGGTTGTGATGAGAATCAAAATAATATATGGAAGAACCTTTAACACATAGTACATAATTGATGACAGCTACAACATGACCTATATATTTAAAACCTTAACATTTCTAATTTTTTTCTCACCTAAATCACTAGATTGTAAGCTTTGTGAGAGCATAGACTGTATTTTTATTTATTTATATTCACAATACAGTACAGTAGTAGTATGTGTGTAAAGACAGCCTTAGTAAGTATATATTGAATGAATGATTACTATACCCTTGCATTGCAGATGAGCAGAGGCACAGGTGGATTGTGACTTGTTGAAGTGACACAAGTTGTTAATGGAGCCAGCACTGGGCTTTAAGTCTCTTGACTCCTAGCTTTTAGCACCTGGTCTGAAAAATAAAAGTTTATAAAAAGAATAGTTTCTATAAATAAATGATAACGTAATTTGGATATGGCTATGCCATTTTCTAGAGAATCATTTTTGTTATGCCAAGTTAATATAACAAAAATGGGATTGACAGTTTGACACAAAAGGCAAAGTATGAAAAAATAATTATTGAACTTATATATGGATTTTCATAAAAGATAAAAACCCTTTTTCTTTTATACTATTTTCTTTTTTTTTCTTTTTTAGGGGCATTACTCTAGTGTGCCTTAATTGTGATTTCCTAGCTGATGTCTCTGGCTCAGATAATATGGCTATACACTTGAGTCAGCAGGAAACTCATATTTGCCAAGTTGTGGTAGAGAAAGGTATGTGTATATATATATTTGTGTTACTTTGTATTTTTGATATATTTTTTACTATTTTTCTCACCCACAATATAGGTTCTTTATAAAATCGTTATTCTCGTCATATTTCATCTGCTGTTTTAAATATAAAACTTTTTTTCTGATTTCAGTTTCTGTTCATATCCCAACTTCTGAACATCTTTCTGAGTAAGTTTAATTTTTATTTGGTGCATTTTACTTTGATGGATTTTAGCACTATTGCATTTTTAAATGTACAGTTAAAAGAAATGAAAAATATTAAAGTATTTTATTTTTTTGTGTTTTTTTTTTTAAAGCTGCTTGTTGAAATAGGTTCCTGCTCTATGGAGCTCATGACCTGGTGCAAGACAAGTTGGAATTTCCTAAGTTCAAAGTTCTGAGATGTTTTCTTACACAAAGGCAGTTAAGCAGCCAAGTTCATGACACTAGCTCTCATTATTCAGCTTTTTTCAGCTTCAAATGGGACTAGGTTCTTTATTCCACCTTATCTTTGTGTCAGGTTGACATATCTTAACATATGTTGTTTTCTCCAGTTGGCTCTTTCCAAAATAACTTTTGTTGCTATAGTCATTTCTTACTTTGCTTAAAATAATTTGTGTTTTTCTCTGCTGTACTTGCCTTCAGAATAATACATTTCAGATGATATGGCTGTTTGTCTTTTTGTCTGTTTTGTCTGCTTTCTTAATTTCTTATAAGTCTTAAGTGTTTAGGCCCAATAATTGTCTTTTTCCTCATTCGTTGTCTGTCATTGTGCTATTTTTCTTATTTTTCAGATGCAGAAGCAGCCCAGAGATTTCAAAAAATGTCCAGGGTACACCTGGACAGTGTCCCCCTTCGATGGACACAACTGGTGCCTGTTCACTCTTTCCAAGGAATGTGAATAATTTTACAGTGGGACCTGCTCTAGGTTGTGGTCTCAAGAAATCAGATCTTGGGGAGACTCCCTTACTTCATGGCTGGCCTCCCATAAGGTTGATGCTAATTTAGCCAGAGATGGTCTCAAAGGCCACCAAATTGAGCACAAATTTCCACTGGGGACTTTGGCTCTTGATCTTAAACTTGTGGCCAAGAAAAGCCCATCAAATCAGTGCTTCAACATCCAAGTTGAAGTTTAGTCATTTTGGCTGCTGCCCTTTAATCTTCCTCTTGCATGAATGCAGTCTAAGGAGTATAAACACTTTGGTTGTTAGGAAGCAATAGTTATTTTCATGTCCTTGGAACAACAGGTCTCTACAATTATGTTCCAAAATTGCAGTTATTTTTATTGTCACTTAAAATATAGTAACCAGTTGTAGCTCTATAGTTTTTCAACAATACTGATTCTCAGCTTTTTAAAAATAAATTTATTTTTTATTGTTTTATGTTCTCCAAATTTACTGATATTATGATGTCTATATTTATATTCTTTTCTATGCTTTAAAACTGTTTAGTGTTTGTTTTGTTTTGCTAAGACTTCCAAGAGATTCCCGATAATTTTCTACAGATTCTCTATAGCTGCCTACTTAGAGCTTTTTAATTTGGCTATTATTCAGACCATTAGACATTATTATATCCTCTGTCTTATTTTGGGATTACTATTATTAACATCTTAATAATTGTGAGTTCTAAGGTATAAAGAATTAACAAAACCTCTTGTAGATCTTCAAACAAGTTTTAAAGTTCTGTGTTTGTCTGGCTAACACATAGTATCTACCTAGCCATTAATGTAGTTCTTTTGGGTAAAGGTAACATTAAAAAAATATGGGGGTACCCCAGCTGGGTAGCTCAATTAGTTGGAGCTTCATCCTGTACACCAAAAAAGGTTGTGGTTTCAATTCCTGGTCAGGGCACATACCTAGGTTGTGGGTTCGATCCCCAGTTGGGGGTGTATGTGAGGCAACCAATCCATATTTCTCTTTCACATGGATTTCTCTCTCTCTCTCTCCCCCTTTCTCTCTAAAATCAATGAACATATTCTCAGGTGAGGATTTAAAAAATAGAAAAAAATATATAGGGACTAACAATGCACTTGTTTTTTTATGTATATTTTTTTCACATTGTATGTATTTTAAAAATTGGCATTTGTTTATTTTAGTTACATCACATTAAGATCTAAACAGTTTTGAAGTTATTTTCTTTTAATTAAAAGTTGTATTGTTTAAATGCCTCAGGAATTATTTATTAATAGTTTCATATAAATGCTGTAGAATCTACTATATAAATGGGTGCATTGCTTTGTTTTAGGGAAGCCTCGTTATTTGGCTTGCTAACTAACAAGTATATCTACTTAGTGCATCTTATATTTTTTCCTCCAGCACAAGTGAAAGGTCACTATTCATACCGATTTCTTGAACTTTAAAGACAAGCAAAACACCTTTTGTGATCTTAGTTGCCATAAGGATAGGCAGAGTCTAAAAGTATGACTCAGTCGTGTTTTTGACTTTAAAATTAGAACTGTTTTACATTGCAACAGATTCAAAGCCAATTTAGATGACTACTTATTATGTAATATGTTCCTTGCAATGAATAATAAAAAATTTGCTAAAACCAGAGGGATATCTTGATGGTGGAGGTTTCTCTGAGGAGCGAGGGGTTCCAGCCCCACATCAGGCCCCACAGCCCAGGGTTCCAGTGCCAGGAAGAGAAGTCCCACAACTTCAGGCTGTAAAAACCAGCAGAGATTGTGGCTGAGGGATGAGGAGGCTGTGGGAGTCCCAGGCAGTTCCTCTTAAAGGACTCATGCATGGACTTATTCAGACGTGCTCCCTCTAAGCTCCAGTGCAGGGCTGCAGCTTGAAAGGAACCTGGGACATTCAGGGAGGAACTAACTTGCCTGGAATCAGGGAGAGGGCTGGAGGGCAGCTTTCTCACAGACAGAAGAGCTGGCAGAGGCCATTGCTCCTGTGACCAGCCCTTTCCTCCCAGAGCAGGTAGGTGGGCACCTTTTCTGAATCTCCATCAACCTGACTCACACCTTTCATCTAGCCCTGGTGACTCCCTGAGACCCTGCCGCTCCCTATTTGCAAGCTCATGCAAGCTGTTTCCAGTGCCTTTTCTATGCAGTGGCCTCTCTAGCCTCAGGCTTAGGACTTTCCTAAAATCTCTCAACCAAGCAGCAGCAAGCCTTAGCATGCCCCATACTTCTTGATAAGTGGCCCCAGGCCTGGCATTAGTGGCAGCCTACATTGTTTCATAGCTTGGCCTCTCCTGGACACCTCCAAGCCCAGCACAAGTAGTTGTGTAGCTCATGCTGGGTGGCCCTGGGCAGGGCACAGGCAGAGGCTGACTTTGCACCTCTCGGGAAGCCCCAGAGACAGTGCAGTGGGTGGTCAGCTTTGACCATGCTGGATTACAACCCTACCACATCCACAAGTGACACACTCAAGGGGCAGACTGGGTGAACACCAAAGCTCCACTGAAGTAAATCCTATTCCATAGAGGAGTCTCCAGAACAGCAGCTCTTTGCCTGTAGCTATAGCTGGTCCTCACAGCTGATTGGCCTGGGGGTCACTTCCTCCCAGTGATGCCAATAGCAACCAAGGCTCAACTACAATAGGACAGTGCACACAGCACACACAAAGGAGCACCTAGAAGGTCCAGCTCTGGTGACTGGGGAGGCTGAGTCACTGGACCCTACAGGATACCTACTACACAGAGCCCATCTACCAATTCCAGGAGACATAGCAGCTCTACCTAATACATAGAAACAAACACCAGGAAGCAGCCAAAATGTGGAGGAAAAGAAGCATGTCACAAATGAAAGAATAGAAGAAATCTCAAGAAAAAGAACTAAATGAAGTGGAATCAAGCAAGCTATTAAATACAGAGTTCAAAACAATGGGTATGAGTATGCTCAAGGATGTTAGTAAGACTATTAAGGAAACCAGTGAGATCATCGATGACATAATAAAGTACCAATCAGAAATGAATGCTATACTAACTGAAAGGAAGAATAATTTACAGGGAATCAACAGTAGAGGTGTTGAATCAATTTGGAATATGGGGACACCGAGAATCAATTTGGAATATGGGGAAGCAAAAACCACCCTATCAGAATAGCAAAAAGGAAAAAAAGTCCAGAAATACAAAGATAGTGTAAGGAGTCACTGGTACAACTTCAAGCGTCCCAATACTTGCATTATGGGGATGCCAGAAGGAGAGGAAAGAGAGCAAGAAATTGAAAACCTATTTGAAAAATTAATGACAGAGAACTTCCCCTACCTGTAGAAAGAAATAGACTTCCAAGTCCAGGAGGCACAGAGAGTCTGAAACATCATGAACCCAAAGACGCCCACACCAAGATACAGCATAATTTAAATGCCAAAGGATAAAGACAGAGAATCTTAAAAGCAGCAAATCTTAAAAGCAGCAAGAGAGAAGCAGTTAGTTTCCTACAAGGGAGCAGCCATACAACTGTCAGCTGATTGCTCAACAGAAACCTTGCAGGCCAGAAGGGAGTGGCAAGAAATATCAAAAGTAATGAAAAGCAAGAACCTACAACAAGATTACCCAGCAAAGCTATCATTTAGAATTGAAGGTCAGATAAAGAGCTTCACAGATCAGAAGAAGCTAACGGAGTTATTCACCGCCAAACCAGTACTACATGAAATGTTGCAGGGTCTTCTTTAAGAAGCTGCTAATGAACAAAAGAAAGTGACAAACAAAATAGACCCAGAGACACTGAAGCATGCAACGGTTTGCTGTATCTCAGAGGGAAGGAGGGGTGGGTGAGAAGATACTAACCAAAGAAGTTTTTTCATATATACATAACCCATAAACACAGACAATAATGGGATGAAGGCCTGGGGAGGGGGTGGGAGTGAGGGGGAGGGGGTGAATTGGGAGGAAAATGGTACACCTGTAATACTTTCAACAATAAAGATAAAAATATAAAGTAATTTTTAATCCATTTAAACTTCCAGACTAATTTCTACTGTATATGAATGATCTTCCAACAGCTCTAAAAGGGGTTTTAGGTGGACTTGGTGATATACTAGTCTTTATTTCCTTATCTCTCTCTAGGAAAGTTTTATCATTCACCTTCTATCTATGCAATTTTTATAAATACGTTATAATTTTGCCCAGAAACAACATATTTCTATTGTTAACATAAATTCCTTTTTCATTTACAGATATTTGTTCTTCCTTGGTTATAATTTAAAAATAAGATGGAATACATTCTTTTTTTC